TCACTAGGTGTGCGCCTCCCCCTACCCCCCACCCAAACATAACAGAAACCTCCTCTCTTCTGGCTTCAGTTCAACTAGACAAGAATAGAAATCGGCCAGATATTCCGTCCTAAAATATATTTTAAAATATATTTGAGGGGCCGGAGCTATAGTATGGTGGGGAGGACATTTGCCTTGCATGCGGCTGACCCATGGCGGCTGACCCAGGTTCGATCCCCAGCATCCCATTCCCTCCTTAGAGATCCCTTCCCCAGAGCCCACCAGGAGTAATCCCTGGGTGCAGACTCATGAGTCAGTCCTGAGCACCCCCTGATGAGTCCCCCCCCCAAACAAACAAGAATAAATAAACTGGGCTTAAAGTAAATAGAGCACTGTAGCTCTGTATCACTGTCCTCCCATTGTTCATTGATTTGCTCGAGCGGGCACCAGTAACGTCTCCATTGTGAGACTTGTTACTGTTTTTGGCATATCGAATACGCCACGGGCGGGGGGAAGGGCTTGCCAGGTGGGCGAGATACTTTCGGTAGCTTGCCGGGCTCTCTGAGGGGGTGGAGGAATCGAACCTGGGTGGGCTGCGTGCAAGACAAACGCCCTACCCGATAAGTAAATAAAATGTATTTTTATTTTATTTTAAAGCCTCCCACGGGATTCAGGGGGGCAGTGGCTGTGTGTGCTGGACTGTCGCCCTTCACCCTTTCCTTACCCCAGGCCCCAGCTGCAGAGAACATTGGTGTTTCCTGTGGTGCCACTGGCCAAACCGAAGACCCCCCCCACTTGAGTGCTAGCCCCTTCAGGCAGAGCAGAAGCCTGCACCCCATTCTCCCTGACAGGAGCACCTTGTCTACGGCTCCAGGTGCTTCTACCACTCACGGTGTCCCCGCCCTGCTAGCCATGGGACACCACCTGCCTTCTTAATCAACTGCTCTTTTCATGCAGGCCCGGCCGTTGGTCCGTTGTTGACAATAAGCTGAAAGACAGGGCTGAACCCTGACGTGCTCCCGGTGTAAACAGGACCTATCTGTTATCCTCTGCCGTTGCCCGCGTTGCCCGCTCCTGACGGTGCCAAGCGTTCGCAGCACCTGCTTTTCATAGAGGGAGCTGCCTGGCACTGGCAGGACAGGAGTTAGAGGGGCTGGAGCGATAGCACAGCGGCTAGGGCGTTTGCCTTGCATGTGGCCGACCGGGTTCGATTCCCAGCATCCCATAGGGTCCCCTGAGCACCGCCAGGAGTAATTCCAGAGTGCAGAGCCAGGAGGAACCCCTGTTAGAATTAATCAAGAACTGTGATGCGCAGTGTGAGTGATATTCAGTGGCATTATCCGAAAGGAACAGGTGAGCTGCTACTGCCACCTCTGAAGCAGTGCCGTGAGTTTTGCGGTATTCACATGACGAGGGGTTCAGGACGCGATGACAGCAAGGAGGCCCAAGAGGCCAAACTCAACTTGATAGCAGGAAAAAAGGGGCCAAATGAACCTAACGCCCACCCTGCCGTTTCAACCGTCCTCAAGTGCATCCTCAGTGTTACTAAGTCTCCAGAACGTTCTCCTGATCCCGAAGGGGACCTCGGTGCTCATTAAACAATATCTCCCTGTTCTCCCCTCCCCAGTGACCCCGAATCAACCATCCATCTGTGAATTTGCCTATTCTAGTTATGCCCACCATCACAGTCCTGGGTCTTTCATTTGACTGATTTCACAAGGCACATCTTCAAGATTCAGCCTGGTCACCTTGTGTTGAAATTACCTTGAAAACTTTTCTCTCCCTCTCTCCATCTCTCCATTTTTCTCCCTCTCCCTCCCTCCTTCTCTCTCCCTCTTTCCATCTCTCCTCTCCTTTCCTCCCTCTCTCCATCTCTCTCCCTCTCCCTCTCTCCACCTCTCTCCCTCCCTCCTCCTCTCTCCCTTTCCATCTTTCCATCTCTCTCCTTCCCTCCCTCTCCCTCTCCCTCTATCTCTCTCCCTCCCTCCTCTCCATGTCTCTCCCCCTTTCCATCTTTCCCTCTCTCCTTCCCTCCCTCTCTCCCTTTCTCTCCTTCCATCCCTCTCCCTTTCTCTCTCCTCTCTCCCGCTCTCTCCATCTCTCTCTGCCTCCTTCTCTCTTCATCTCTCTCCCTCTTTCCATATCTCTCTCCATCTGTCTCTCCATCTCTCCCCCTCCCTCCCTCTCCCTCTCTCACTCTCTCTCTGCACCTCTCTCCCCTCCCCGCTTCTCCCTCTCTCTTGAATTTGCAGTGCAGCCTGCAGGTGTGCCATTATTCTAAATTCATATTTGTTGCATAGGAAGTTGCCCAGTCCCAGTCCAATTCCATCTGTCATCACACTATTGACTGCTTTTACCTCGTTTACCCAGCGTTTACCCAGTTACTCTCCGTTTCCCTTCTGGTAACTCTATTTCGGTCTTATAATTCAAAAGCAACTTTTGGTTTGGGTTTTGAGGGGGCCCACGATCAGTGGTGGAATCTCTCGTACTGGTGCTTGGAGGACCATATGCAGTGCTAGAGATCGAACTGGGGTCAACCACGCCTTACCTGCTGTTCTAGTTCTCCCGCTCTAATAGCTAGTACCGGTTTTACTTAGTTCACGCATTTGTTTTATGATTTTTTTTTTTTTTGCATTTTCGGCCACACGCAGCGATGCTCATGGGGTTACTCCTGGCTCATGCACTCAGGAATTACTCCAGGTGGTGCTTGGGGAATCATAAGGGATGCCGGGGATCAAACCCGGGTCGACCGCGTGCAAGGCAAACACTCTATCCACTGTACTATCTCTCTGGTTCCAGTTTTGTGAAATTTTAAGGCCAAACTACCCCTGGCATTTGTTTATCCCTTAAATGTCGATGAGACATCAGTGATTTCCCTCTATTGGTCCTAATCCTTCTACAAACTCAGGCTTTATTTTAGGGGGAACCACACCTGACAGTGCTGACGGGACCACATGCTGTTGGGGATCATCACCCTGGGGCTTCTGCCTGCTCCGCTCATGGTCCAGCCCTTCGAATAATCTCCCAGGCCCTGTTCTGAATTTTAAAGAATGAAATGCCTGGCTGGAGCGATAGAACAACGGGTAGGGCACTTACCTTGCCCGCAGCCGCTCTGGCTTCAATTCCCGGCATCCTAGAGGGTGCCCCCACCCCGGAGCACTGTAACACTGCATGTCCTCCTGTTGTTCACCGATTTGCACCAGTAACGTCTCCATTGTGAGACTTGTTACTGTTTTTGGCATATCCAATACGCCACGGGGAGCTCGCCAGGCTCTGCCATGCGGAGGAATACTCTTGGTAGCTTGCTGGGCTCTCTGAGAGGGATAAAGGAATCGAACCCAGGTCAGCTGTGTGCAAGGCAAATGCCCTACCCCCCAAGCACAATCAGGAGTAATTTCTTTTTTTGTTGTTTTGGTTTTTGGGTCACACACGGCGATACACAGGGGTTACTCCTGGATCTGTACTCAGGAATCACTCCTTAGTGATTCGGTGCTCGGGGGACCCTATGGAATGCTGGGAATCGAACCCAGGTTGGCCGCATGCAAGGCAAATGCCCTACCTGCTGTGCTATCTATCGCTACAGCCCCAGGAGTAATTTCTTAGTGCAGAGCCAGGAGGAACCCCTGAGCACCACTGGGTGTGGCCCTTCAAACAAAAGGAATGCCATTTAAATCTTTTTCTTTGAAACTCACTGCTCCCCCGCCCCCACCCCCCACCACACACACCACACACACATTACACTTTTTGGGTAACACGCGGTGATGCTCAGGGTTTCCTCCTTTGGTACATGGGGGATACTATGGGATGCCGGGGATCGAACCCAGGTCGACCGCAGTGCAAGGCAAACACCCTCCTCGCTATACTATGGCTCCAGCCCTCTTAGAAATAGTAAAATTCAAAGTGAGTGGAAAATAAAAACAGGCTTTGGGTGCCTCTGCACCTCCCCGCCCAGTGCTGATCTCTCCATGGTAACTGCCCGCTGGACACTAAATGACCCCCTACTGCGGGCGGGGTCTCCCATGCCTCATTGAATGGACCGCTTGGCCAAGCCGAACTCCATGTCTTTTCTGCACCTCGCAGGCCTCACGGGAGGTCCAGAAGTGGAAAAGAAAACAGCCGCCCGTCATCCTGTAACCCACACAGACTGCTGTGGCTGATTCCCTAGGACTGCTCCATCTCGGGGCTGGTGTGTGTTTGCTTCCCCCATAAACGGTCCCGGCCTCGGTAGGACATGCACGGGGGCAAGAGTTGGGCCATTTGGTCTATCTCTGTGGGCTCCAGTTTGCATTTGCAAGTTCCATGGAGACTCGCATGAAATTGCTCAGTCGGCTCCCGTGATTACTCTGGAAGGTCAGATCCCCTCCTTCCCCTCCCTCTCCCCTTCCCCTCCCCTCTTTCCATCCTTCTTTATCAATCTGATGCAACGATCTATATACCTGCCTGTCTTTAAGCCTGCTGCGGTGATGAAACTCTGATGGATAGGCACTCAATTATAAATGAGCATATTATTAGTGGGTGGCAAGTACCCACAACTACCTACCATGTACCGGGTGCAAGGTTCTGGGTACTAGGGAGGTCACCTTTACTGCTGTATCCCTAAGACACAACATACTGTGAGAACAAGCTGTGGGTGAGGACCTAGGGTTACTCTATGGACAATTGTAGGGACTCTGGATCATAGTTTCATCATTTCATTATGACCTCATGTCTTCTTTTTTGTTGTTGTTGTTGTTTTGTTTTGGTGCACACCCAGTAGTGTTCAGGCTTACTCCTGGCTCTGTGCTCAAGGGTGGTGCTTAGGGGACTATATGGGATATTAGGGATTAAGCCCAGTTCTGCAGGTGCAAGGCAGACACCATATCCCTTGTCCTATCTCTCTGGCCCTTCCATTTCTTCATTCTTAAAGTACGGAGGCCAACCTTCCAATCTACTTCTCATATAAATGCAGTCAGAGCACATGGTGGAATGGTGGTTGAAAGATATCTGAAAAATAAATAGCTCTTAAAAGAAAAAAGAACCAGTCCAGTATATTGTCATAATTCTTTATTATGTATCAAATTGTCTTCAACATAACTTACAACCTGATTAAATTTGATAGATATACTTTTTTTTTTTTATCTATTTAAAGACAAAAAAGAATTCTCTTTATGTACAATATCTTTTGTCTAGAGTCTAGCAAATATAGTACCTTTCATTGCAGGATTTTTTGCTTATGGTAAATAAGCAAAACAAACAACCAAAAAAAAAATATATAAACCAAAGCAAACCATACCCCCCAATCCCTCCACTACAAATATCAATATTGAAAAAAAGCATTAAAAAGACAAACATAGAAAAAAAATGTCATTGTTTAGAAATGCAGAATGATACTAAGGTTAGTGGCAAAATAAAACAAATTGAACAACCCTAAACCCCTGGAGAATAACCGTCTTCAGGGGTCCATGTTCCTGCTCAGGGTTACAAGCTGACTCTAGACCATCTCTCTGCTCCTGCGGATAGCACAGCACAGGATCATGCTGAAGATCATGCCGAAGATCTGAAAAGACAGAATGCCGGTGAGGACACAGTGTCTTGGCTAAGGCAGGGTGGGAGAGAGACAGACGGACACCAGCACAGCCGGGACATTCCTTTTTTTTTTTTTTTTGCCTTTTTGGGTCACACCTGGTGATGCTCAGGGGTTCCTCCCGGCTCTGCATTTAGGAATTACTCCTAGCAGTGCTCAGGGGGACCATATGGGATGCTGGGAATCGAACCCGGGTCGGCCGCATGCAAGGCAAACGCCCTAGCTGCTGTGCTATCTCTCCAGTCCCATCTCTTTTTTTTTTTTTGCCTATTTGGGTCACACCTGGTGATGCTCAGGGTTCCTCCCGGCTCTGCATTTAGGAATTACTCCTAGCAGTGTTCAGGGGGACCATATGGGATGCTGGGAATCGAACCCGGGTCGGCTGCATGCAAGGCAAACGCCCTAGCTGCTGTGCTATCTCTCCAGTCCCATCTCTTTTTTTTTTTTTTTTTTTTGCCTATTTGGGTCACACCTGGTGATGCTCAGGGTTCCTCCCGGCTCTGCATTTAGTAATTACTCCTCGTGGTGCTCAGGGGGACCATATGGGATGCTGGGAATCGAACCCGGGCTGCATGCCAGGCAAACGCCCTGCCCTCCCTGCTGTACTATTGCTCCGGGCCTTGCCCAGCATCCTGGAGGCATGCAGACTTGGAGGGTGAGGAAGGAGGCAGTGGGGGTGGTGCAGGCCAATGATGTTCAACCACTGGACGGCAGGCACGAGAAGGCTGATGTCCCTGGGCTGGACCATGGGGAAGGCTTACACTGCTAACGGGAACTTCCTGGAGCCCCTTCAGGGTGACTCCAATATACTAAAAGCAAAATTCAGTGTTCAAGCCCCATCTATTCCAACGGTCTATACTAGCTTCTATTTTTTTTTTTTTTTTGCAGGGGGCAGGGGGATACACCTGACTCTTCTTAGACACCCATTATAGGTGCAGGGATTCGAATCAGGGTTGTGGCCGCAGCTGCAGGCCCGGCACAAGCATCTTAACCCTTGTACTAATGGGCTCGTCCTTTTGCTTCCGTCCTTGGGCAGGTGTGTTTCAGAAGCAATTTTAATGTCTAGTTTTTTGGCCACACCTGGCAGTGCTCAGGTATTACTCCTGGCTTTTTGCTCAGGGATCACTTCTGGTGGGGCTTAGGGGACCATAAGGGATGCCAGGGATAGCCCCTGGGTTGGCCATGTACAAAGCAAGTGTCCTACCCACAGTACTATCTCTCCTGCCCTATTTGAAAAAGTTCTGTTACTTTAGCCGCTAAGAAAGGATGCAGGGCCAGAGCAGTAACACAGCAGGGAGGGTGTTTGCCTTACACGCATTGGACCCAAGTTCAATCCCCGGCATCCTAGATGGTCCCTCAAGCACCGCCAGGAGTAATTCCTGAGTGCAGAGCCAGGAGGAACCTCTGGGTATTGGTGGGTATGACGCAAAAAAAAAAAAAAAAAAAAAGGAAAAAAAGGAAGGATGCAGTGCAGTTGTCTTCAAGGAGTGTCTTGTAAGGGACAGAAGAGGACTGTGTCCCCTATAGGACTCAACACGTTCGTGGGGACAGAGGCGGTCACCTCTTCCTGTTGGCTCTCCGTGGTTTCCAGGGCCTGATATGAAAAGGTCACTGGCTTGACACTCCCTTCCTGGCCCACCAGCCGGTCATCTTTGGGATAGTATCCCTCAGACTTCTGAGGAGGTGGCACCACCTCACATCCTGACTGTTTTTTTGTTATTCTGGGGCCACACCTGGCTTCCTCCTAGCTGCATCCTCCGGGGTTCCTGCTGGATGGCTCGCGGGACCATATGTGGTACTGGGGATTGAACCTGGGTCAGCCACATGCAAGGCAAGCACCCCACCTGCCGTGCTCTCTCAATCTCTTGCACCCCTTCCCCTACCCCCTCCTCCCTCCCTCCCTCCCTCCCTCCCTTCCTTCCTTCCTTCCTTCTTTCACATGTGGCAATGCACAAGGGTTCCTCCTGGCTCATGTACTCAGGAATTACTCCTGGTGGTGCTTGGGAGACCCTATGGGATGCTGGGAATCGAACTTGGGTTGGCTGTGTGCGAGGCAAACGCCCTCCCCACTGTACTATCGCTCCAACCCCTGGAACCACTTTCTTTGGGGGGGGGGGGAAGCAGGGGCCTAAAGAGCGCATGCTTCAAAAATGGAGGTGGCACCCTTAGCAGACATGGGCGTGCCACATTTCTGCCACACCAAGTGTGGCCTGTGCACTGGCCTAACGGGCCTTGCCTTTCTCACTGGACACACAGTCTATGCACCCACTGAGTTCAAATCCCTTCTGCTTCCGGAGTTTTTGGCCAATGGCCTCTGTCTGTTTGCTGGGAATCCTGGTTCCCGCCTCCCGGAGCAGTGAAGAGGGAGTTCGGTGGTAAAGGCGCCATGGAGACAAGGCCCCCTGCCCATCACCCCTTTAGTGCCCACCCCAGGGCCCGGCACTCACCATCACCACGGCGATCCCGATGCCCACCGCACCGATGATATGGAATTTGTTGTCAAAGACCTCTTGGATGGCCACAGGACAGGGCTTAGGGAGCAAAGGGAGATCCGGGTCAGACACAGTTCCCCCTCGCTACTTTCCTCCCATCACACTGGGGGGGTCACAGAGACAGGACCGGGGGCACGACAAGAGCGTTCCGGGGTCTTGGGGAATGGAGAGAAAAACTAAGGTGAAGCTAAGGGTGGGGATGAGGCCTAAAACTGGGGCAGCAAGAGGAGAAAGGCCCTGCTTGGGGTCTTTATTTTTCCCCCCTCCAGAAGGGGGGGTCACATCTGGTCATGCTCAGGGCTTACTCTTGGCTCTTCACTCAGGGATCACTTCTGGTGGGGTGTCTTCCCCCCACCCCCACTTTTGGGGCCAAACCTGGTCATGCTCTGGGGTTACTCCTGGCTCTGCACTCAGGAATTACTCCTGGCAGTGCTCAGGGGACCCTATGGGATGCTGGGAATCGAACCTGAATCGGCTGAGTGCAAGGCAAATGCCCTACCCGCTGTGCTATCTCTCCAGGCCCCTAGTGGGATGTCGAATCCAAGTCAGCTGCACACTACAGAGGGTAGACCAGTCCCTCTGGTCCCCAGGGGCTATTTCTTGTGTTGTTGTTTTGTGCCACTGGCACCCAGCAGTGCTCAGGGCTTATTCCCAGCGCTGTGCTCAGGAATTCCTCCTGGTGGGGCTCAGGGGACAATACGGGATGCTGGGGATTGAACCTGGGTCAGCCGCATGCCAGGCAAGTGCCCACCACTATTCGTATTCTTGTTCCAGCCACAACCACGGTCTATTTCTGCCCAGGTCAGGTGACCTCTCTCTCTCTCTCTGTCTCACTCTCTCTTTGTGCAGCCTGGACGGCAGCTCTGGCTCTCCACCATGAGCTGTTTGCAAGTCTGGAGAGTGGGCGAGGCCAGAGGGCACCTGTCCTTGAGGGCTGGGGGGGCAGGACGGGGGAGGGGGGTAGAGGGAGGGGCCAGGCAGTTCCAAGTGCCCCATCACTGCAGGGAGTTGGAACCGTTATTTCCCCAGTGTGGCCTTTGTCTGCCTTGCCTCCCCCCTCACCGGAAGTCTGGAGGGTGTCAAGGTATTCGAGGTGCCCAATGCCATGTTCATCAGAACAGGAGTCCACCCCCCGGAGCACCCTGAGGCTGGTTCGGGGGAATTACCTTCTCTGTCAGGGTGCTGAGAAAATCCTTCTTGGGGCAGATGTCCGAGATGAACTGCTCCACTCCGCCGACGATGCCGCAGCAGTCCAGCTGTGGAGAAGGGCAGGGTTGAGAGAGGGCGTGGGGGGCAGGGGAGAGGGGGCGCCAAAAGGGCTGGGTGTGGGTGTGTGCATGCGTGTCGCAGGGCCAGGGTGGGAGGTCTGGACCCCGAGTCACCTACCGCGGCGTGGATGGCTTTCAGCGTCTCCTTCTGCAGCTCCTCCTTGTTTTTCAGCTTGCTGTAGGTGTCCACGTAAAATTTTTGCAGTTCGTTAATCACCTACAGAACGAGAGCAGGGCAGAGATGTCTTTCTCCTACGGCTGTCACGCAGCCTCTAGACTCCTTCTGTGTTTTGCAGAGCCCCGAGGCCCAACCCCCACCCCAACTTCCTTGTACATCTTGGGGGGGGGGTCCTTTCAACTCCATTTCTTTCCTGAGCAAAATAGAATCTCTAAGTCTGTTTGTTTTTTTTTTTTTTTTTGCTTTTTGGGTCACATCCAGAGATGCACAGGGGTTACTCCTGGCTCTGCACTCAAAAATTACTCCTGGCGGTACTCAGGGATGCTGGGAATCAAACCCGGGTCGGCTGGTGCAAGGTAAACGCTCTACCTGCTATGCTATCGCTCCAGACCGTCTCTCAGTCATTTAAAAACAAACCGGACACCTGTACCATGCTTCCCCTCTCCACTGTGTGTGTTGGCTTTGTTTGGGGGCCATTATCTGGCAGTGCTGGGGTGGGATGGGGTGGGGAGGGGAACAGGAACCCACCACAGGGCGTCTCAGAACTGAATCCAGGTCTTTTGAGTATAAAGCAAGTGCTCAGCCATTTGGGTAATCTCCCCAATTCTCTTCTTCCTTTTTTTGGGTCATGGATTTCCTGTCTGGTCTTACACAAACCTGGCCTGTGGATCCATCCACTCAACCTGGGCCCCTTCCATCTTCCTTTTCTCTTCCCTTAGAGCCAAGCTACAAATCACAAACTTTTAATCTCTGTTTAGGCAGCTCCTGCCTCTACTGCAAGCTGAGGAGAGGACCCAGGGCAGAGGTTAGAGGTTTTTTGTTTTTTGTTTTTTTTTCTCTTTTTGGGTCACACCTGGCGGTGCACATGAGTTATTCCTCTGCACTCAGGAATTATTCCTGGTGGTGCTCAGGGGACCATATGGGATGCTGGGAATTGAACCTGGGTCAGCCGTGTGCAAGGCAAACGCCCTATCTGCTGTGCTATTGCTCCAGTCCCAGGGCAGAGGGGGTTTGAGGGCTGACCGAGGGGGTGAGTGGTTGGTGACTGGTGAGTACTGTATCTGCTAGAGCTCATTTGGAATAAATATTAGCCACGTTCTCAGGGAGAGAATGCTTCAAGCCCCTGGCTGCATCCTAGGGACGCCTGCCAGCTTGCTGCCCTGGCCTCCCCTCCAATTAGCTGACCAACACCTGGCGCCCTCGCCTCAGCATCTTTCATAATCATGACTTCCTGTCACCAAGGCGACAGCCTTTTATCATTTGGACAATGCACTGTCTTCTCAAACATGGTTCCTGCCTGCCGCGTCTCTCCTTGTGTGTCCCTCCCCCCCCACCCCCCGGCTTGAGCTGACAAGGCAGACTTTGGAAAGCATCGCTGGGGACCCTCCCATCCCCCCGCCCCGACTTCCAACTCCCTTCACTGGCTCTCCAGGAAGCCCAAACTCAGTTGAGTTAAGGAGGGCACATGGTCATGCACCACCTTCCTCCTGAGATCCAACCTCATTCCCTACCCTACCTTTCTCAAACCCCACAGAACTCAGCTTTGTCCCTCATTTCTATGACAATCAGAAAACACATGCCTTTCTCCCACACTAGGGTGTGTATATGTGTGTGTGGGCAGGGGGGAAATAGTCCCTGAAAGGAGGAACCACAATTTGCTCATCTCTAGATCCTGAATCGGGTCTGGCAGCACCCCTGGGCTCATGGTGGACCAGATTTAGAGATGGGGGGTGACAGACTAGAAAACACAGTAAGCTGTTTTCCTTAGGTATCGTCTTTTTTTTTCTTTTTGGGTCACACCTGGCAATGCACAGGGGTTACTCCTGGTTCTGCACTCAGGACTTACCCCTGGCGGTGCTCGGGGGAACCTATGGGATGCTGGGAATTGAACCTGGGTCGGCCGCTTGCAAGACAAACGTCCTACCCGCTGTGCTATTGCTCCAGCCCCCAGGGATCATCTTTTTTTGAAGAGAGGGGAAGACATCTGTGGTGGGTGAGATGTTTCTAGAACATCTGTCCCTCTGTTCCTATGTGAGGTCATGGCGACTCACATTTCCTGACCTCGGGGGGGGGGGGCTCACATCTAGAGAGAGTGTTGCCATGCAGTAAAGAGAAGGCGTGGGCGTAAGAGTGGGAAGCTGACTTAAGGGGACAGCCTGGACCCCATTACCCTCACTGCCTTCCTCCCAAAACTGCCCCCAGTCCCTCCAAGCCAAACCCATGAGGCAGCTGGTCCAGCTGGGTGGGGCGACACCTACCTCGTCCTTGTGGGAATAGCCCCAGATGGCTGCCGCGATCTCAACGGCAAATATCACCAGGAGGAACCCGAAGAACTAGAAGGCAAAAAGAGGGGGTGGGGTGAGGATCAAACACGCCGGTCCCAGATCTGAAGAGTAAGAAGGACAGCTCCCCACAGGCTGGCACGGGGGTGTGTGTGTTTTGAGGGGAGGGGGGCACAAATCAAGCGTTCTGACGGGGCAGGGAAGGGACTTCGAGAGGGGCACAGAGCCCACTCAGGAGGAAAGAACTGGGGTGGCGGGCTCCAGGTATAGGACTGAGCCCTAAGTCTTAGCCATCAGTAAAGTAAGAGAGAGGACAGAGGGGGGCGGGTGTTCGCTTTGCAAATGGTTGCACTTCATGTGGGTCCCCCAGGCATCACCAGGAGTGAGCCCAGAGCACAGAGCCAGGAGAGAGAGCCCAGAGCACAGAGCCAGGAGTGATCCCTGAGCACAGAGCCAGGAGTGAACCCTGAGCACAGAGCCAGGAGTTAGCCCTGAGCACAGAGCCAGGAGTTAGCCCTGAGCACAGAGCTGAGAGTGAGCCCAGAGTACAGAGCACAGAGCCAGGAGTGATCCCAGAGCACAGAGCCAGGCGTGAATCCTGAGCACAGAGCCAGGAGTAATCCCTGAGCACAGAGCCAGGAGTGAACCCTGAGCACAGAGCCAGGAGTTAGCCCTGAGCACAGAGCTGAGAGTGAGCCCAGAGTACAGAGCACAGAGCCAGGAATGATCCCAGAGTACAGAGCCAGGCGTGAATCCTGAGCACAGAGCCAGGAGTAATCCCTGAGCACAGAGCCAGGAGTGATCCCTGAGCACAGAGCCAGGAGTCAGCCCTGAGCACAGAGCTGAGAGTGAGCCCAGAGTACAGAGCACAGAGCCAGGAGTGATCCCAGAGCACAGAGCCAGGCGTGAATCCTGAGCACAGAGCCAGGAGTAATCCCTGAGCACAGAGCCAGGAGTCAGTCCTGAGCATGGCTGGGTGCGGGCCAAAAAAACCCCCAAATCTAAGCAAAGTAAACAAATAAGATACTCCACTCACAAAGACCTTTGAGAAAATAAACAAATCAAGTACTTTGGAGTTAAAGGAAATCAAAAAGTCTTTTTTTTTTCCGCTACACCTGGTGGTGCTCAGGGCTGAACCTCGGTCTCCTACGTGCACAGTCTGTGCTCTGGCCCCAGGAGTCATCTTTCGGCCTGGAAAAAATCAAAATGTGAAAAGAAAAGAGAAGGCCAAGGTTTGCAAGAATTCAGGGGGACAGAAAAAGAAAGCATACGTGGTTCTTGAAAAGGGGGAAAAAAAACCCACACAGGCCTGGTATTTAATGCCCTAGTGGAAAGGACAAGATTCAAGACTGGCCCCAAAAGGGAAAAGAGCAGGAGGAAAAGTGTGTGGGGTGGGGTGGGGGAGGGGCGTGGGAAGGGGAAGGTGTGCTCATGCCCTCGGGGGAGGGGAGGTCCCTCTTGGCCCCGCCCCGCCCCACCTGTGCTATGGCCTTTGGACCAATGAGATCCGAGAGGAGGTGGGGCCCGGAGGGATACTCACCAATCCCAGCATGCACTGGGACTCTTGCACCGCCCCGCAGCAGCCCAGGAATCCCACCAGCATCATGAGGGCGCCCGCGCCAATCAGAATATACACACCTGAGGAGAGAGGGAGACGTGAGTGTGAGTGTGTGTGTGTGTGTGTGGGGGGGGGGTCCTCTCATATTGCCTCGACCCCCTCCCTCTCCAGGCTCTTCTACCCATCGCCTGGGCTGACCCTGGGCTCTGGAAGGTGGGGGGTGGGGGCTCTGTCCAGCAGGAGAGCAAGGTTCTAGCAGGAAAGGACCCCCCACCCTCCACTCCCACCCGGGGTGGCATCCTTCTGCCTGCCAGTGGCGGTGACACAGGACATGACGACCATCATGAGCTGCCTGATGCACAGGGCCCAGGGGAGGTGGTGGCACTGGGCACCCAGGGGAGACGGCGGGGGGGGGGGGGGGGGGGGGGGGGGGGGTGACCGTGGTCAGGAAGGCACTTTGCCTGTTTGTACCTCAATTTCCAAGTCAGGGGAAAGGGCAGCGGCACAGAACCCTCAAAACCCTCCTTAATGGTGCTCCCCCCACCTGCCCCTACGTGCAAGGCCCTGGTGGACAAACAGCTCAAAAGGCCTCCATGTGCCCTGAAAGGAGTTTTGCATTTTTTTTTTCTTTTTGGGTCACACCCGGCGATGCTCAGGGGCTACTCCTGGCTCTGCAAGAAGGAATGACTCCTGGCAGTGTTTGGGGGACCCTATGGGATGCTGGTTATCGAACCCGGGTCAGCCACATGCAAGGTAAACACCCTACCTGCTGTACTATCACTCCAGCCCCCTGAAAGGAGTTTTAGGGCGTTTGCCTTGCACGAGACCAACTGGGCCGACCCGGGTTTGATTCTTCCAACCCTCTTGGAGAGCCTGGCAAGCTACCAAGAGTATCTCGCCTGCACGGCAATGCCTGACAAGCTACCTGTGATGTAGTTGATATGTTGCCAAACACAGTGACAACAAGTCTCACAACGGAGACGTTACTGGGCCTGCTCAAGCAAATCAATGAACAACAGGAGGGCAGTGCTACAGTATGTATGTATGTAAGTATTAAATAATCACCCCTCCCCCATTTGTTGGATGCTAGCAAGATAGCAGAAGACAAACCCGGTGGGGCATTTTGTCCAAGGTCATGCCCACAGCAATTCAGAAACCGGATTCTAAAAGCCTTGGTAATGACTGAAGAGGTCTTTGTGTTGTGTTTTGGTGGTGCTGGGGCTGGAACCTTGGGTGCCCACATGAGAGGCAAGTGCTCTCTCTCCCCCTCCCACCACATCCTGGCCCCCTTCTTTGATTTCTGAGCTCCATCTGTGGTGCCCGAAATGGCTTAGAATATCTCTGGGGGGAAGCACGTGGCACCAGGACTTAGTCCTGGGGTTCCCCCACCGTGCTCCAGCCCTTTGAGCCGTCTCTCCCCACCCCTTCAGGCCTGCTCCAGCCAGCCACGAGACGGGACTTTGAGAGGCTCCCCTGGGACCCCACTAAAAGCCATGTGATTGGGGCTGGAGCGATAGCACAGCGGAGAGGGCGTTTGCCTTGCATGCGGCTGACCCGGGTTCGATCCCCAGCATCCCATAGGGTCCCCTGAGCACCGCCAGGAGTAATTCCTGAGTCCAGAGCCAGGAGTAACCCCTGAACATCACCTGGTGTGACCCCAAAAACAAACTAATAAAAATGCCACTTGATCTCGCCTCCAGTTTCCTACTGAGAAATGGGCAGCAGTGGTCACCCCCAAGCTTGCCGTGAGCATCCAGGGCCGCCAACTGAGGGTGAGCAAGCCGTGGGGGTGGCTGCCGGGGTTCCCTCCTCCGCCCTCTCCTCGAACTGGACCTCCGGGGCTCCCTGGACAGCCCGCGCGTGTCTGAGATGTCGCCTACAGCCTGCGGCAGGCCTCAGGCAGGGGACCCCAGTGGCGGGCACTGCCGTGATGTCACTGCGGGGCGGGGCCTGGGCGCCCACAGCTGGGGTGCGCGGCGGCGTGTGCAGGGGCGCACACAAGGGCCCGCTTGTGCCTCTCGCCCCGGCCCCCACATCTGTCATCGTGAGTGACGTCAGGTCACGTGCGGGCACCGGCCGGGCCTGAATCTGCTCATTGTCCCCGCACACGCCCAGCCCGCGTGAGGGCAACGCAGGCAGCTTATGCTCCCGTCCCTGGGGGTGTGCGATGCGGAGGGGGGGTGGGGGTCCCCGGGTCAGTCTGTGCTGGGGGAGTCCCGGGCAGGCTCCTGGGCGGGTACGAGGGAGGAGGGGCCCTGGCTACCATGCAGGGGACACCCGAGGAGGCTGCGGCCACTGCCTGCGCTCCAGAGCCGGGCTGGGGCAAGGCCACCAAGCCACCACGAGGGTTGAGGAGCACCAGAAACAGGGTGGGGTGGAAATGAGAGGGGACAGTCGTGTGGTTATTTTTTTTTTCTTTTGCTTTTTGGGTCACACCCGGCGATGCTCAGGGGTTACTCCTGGCTCATGCACTCAGGAATCACTCCTGGCAGTGCTCGGGGGACCATATGGGATGCTGGGAATCGAACCTGGGTTGGCCATGTTGGCTGTGTATAAGGCAAACGCCCTACCCACTGTGCTATCTCTCCAGCCCTCCCGGGGACAGTCGTGTTTCTGCTAAGTGCAGGCCCAGGGGGGCAGGCCGGGGTGGCCCGAGCTGTTAGGGAGAATGAGGGTGGGTGGCAGGAGCTAGGAAAAACGTTTTCCGTGTGTGTGCATGTGTGTGTGTGTGTGTGTGCGTGTGTCTGTGTCTGTGTGTGTGTCTGTGTTGGTGGGTGAGGGTGGCAAGATCTGCCCCCACCCCCTCCGGCCCCCTGAGCACCATCTCCTAAATAGGCCTCCCGATTTGTAGGAAACAGTCACCCCAAGGCTCAGCAGATCACACTTTTAGGACAAAGGCTCTTGCTGGCTTCCAACCCCGCTCGGGACAGCTGCCGAACTGGTCTCGCTCCCCCTCTCCAACTGCAGATGCAGATGACCAATTCCCTGGCAGCTGCTCTGAGTGGCCCGTCAGGCGACTTGGGGTCCCCCCCCCAGGCCCCCAAGCCGCCATTCAGGCTGCTCTGGGGCCAGGCCCCTCCTAGCGACACCCCCTCACTCCCCTCCTCCCCCCCCCCCCCCCCACCCCCCAGGGCTCCTTAGCCAAGACTGGCGGTGACAAAGCCTGGTTCCCCTTTTCGAACACAAGCGAATGTTAGCTTTCTGACTCATGGAAAGTTCTTCGTCACTGGCCCTACTCTGTGCGGCTGTGTTCATTTGCTTAAGGGCTATTTATTCTGCGGCTTGCAGGCTGCCGTTCGAGGCTGCAAAGTCCACAAGGGAGAAAAAAAGAAAAAGGCGTTTTGGTGTGGGGCATCCGTCAGCGAGAGCTGGAGCCTTCCCAGCTCAGCTGCGCGTCAGGGGCGCCCCTCGAGGGCTTGGATCACGGGGCACCCCGGCCGTCCCCCCGCCTGGCCCCCTCTTCTTGCACAGGGCACTTGCCACACCGGATTGTGTGCGCAACACAGTCCCGTGTTCCACTTGCTTAGAACAGATTGCGATGCCCCACTAACCCCATCCGGGGGAGGGATGGGGTCACAGGAACTCCACCCTGGTTCCCCGACGGCTCTCTCTCTCTCTCTCTCTCTCTGGCCCACTCACTCTCCCTCATCCATCCCTCCCACTCCAAGCTGTTCTTAGGGGTCAGCACGGCAGCAAACGCCATCAGCCCGACCCACATCTGCTGGTCTCGTGAGGGTAAAACAAGGCACAGAGTCCAAGCCCAGCCATACTCCCTCCTCATTCCCCCCTCCCCTTCTCAAATACAAGCCGGAACCTGCAAACTGCCCTGAGGGCCAACACCTCACAGGTGCCAGCGCCCGAGCTGGGGGACTGACACACAGCTTAAGGGACAGAGCATACACACTGCAGGTGGGAAGTTGAGTCTGATCTCTGTCACCCCCTGCTCCCCCTGCCCCCCAACATCACCCCCAGCACTGTCAGGTATAGCCCTAGTGGCTTCTGTGCTTGAGGATTGCTGGAAGAGTTCCCTGACAATGTGCGTGCATGTGTGTGCGTGTGTGTGTGCGTGTGTGTGTGGGGGGCAGGGGAGGGGAGGGGGGCTATACTAGAAAAAAAAAAAACACTGTTCATCGATTTGCTCGAGCAGGCCCAGTAACGTCTCCATTTTTGAGACTTGTTGTTGCTGTGTTCGGCATATCGAGTACGTCACGGGGAGCTTGCCAGGCTTTGCCGTGCGGGCGAGATACTCTCAGTAGCTGGCTGGGCTCTCTGAGAGGGATGGAGGAATCGAACCCGGCTCGGCCAGGCTGGCTGTGTGGAAGGCAAACGCTCTACTGCTGTGCTATCGCTATACTAGAAGGGAAAAAAAAAGGGTTGGGGTGGACAGGCACTGGTTGGAACCCCACTTCCCTTCCTATCCCCGTCAGGGGCTCTGATTCGGGAAGGATAGTAAGGAGTTAAGGGCTGCTGGCCGGGGACCAAGAAGACCAAGTCTGCCAACATGCTTGCAGCCTGGGATTAGGCAGCCGGCTGACGGGGCTGGCCTGGAGAAAAGGCCCATATAAGGCCGTCAGCTGCTCGCGACTCTCCCCGGATCCCCGCCTGGATTAGCCCCGTTGGCTGACGCTCTGAAAGCCTTGGTCCTGCTGGAGAGAGACATCCCGAGAGCCTTCGGGGGTCCCGCTGGCATGAGCAGGCCAGCCGAGAGGGGCCGCCCCGTAAGGGGATGGTGTGGGGGAGGAAGTCCCTTGGTTCAGGGGACGGTCAGCCCTGGCAGTTGGCACGGGGGCCGGAGCCGAGCTGGCCCTCTGTGCTGGCAGAGGGGTGTCGCATCCACACAAAGGCTGGCTTCACAGCCCCGGGAGAGGGGGCCCAGAGGATAAAGCCTCCTGGGCCCGCTGCCCGAGAGCCATTATCCACTCTCCCCAGCACGCAGTGGGACAAGCTCCAAGCCAGACCCCAGGGGCCGCTGGCCCGACCCATGTTCTACTGCCGCTTGCTTCACACTTGGGTGCCGGGGCTCCTGCAAACGGAACGGCATCTCCAAGTTCGTCTCTTCCCTAGGAAGGGGGTCCGGCTATGGGGGTCCTGTACTCTTTGGCCAGAGTGAGGGCAGCCCCGCGTGACATCCCCGACCTCCCAGCTAGGGACTGTAGTCTGAAAAACCCTCCCCTCTGGTCGTTTCAGGTGGACCCTCTGCACTGGGGGCCCTGTTATGATCTGGGGGCCCTCAATCCTCCATGCAGTTATTCCCTACACCAGCTCCCTGCTGGGGGCTTCTGTCCCCAGACTATTTTGGGTGAAGCCGAAAGATCAAGAGCACCATCAAAATCGGGGGGGGGTCCCTCAAGGGAACTATTTTCTGTATGCTTCCGCCTCTCTTCTCCTCTCACAGTAACCTAGCACAGATCATTCAAGCAGCAGGTTTCAGAGGCTGGGTTCAAATCTTCAGGGCCTCTGAGTTTGAGCATGTACCGGTGAACCTCTTTGAGCCTCAGTTTCTGCACTAAAGATCTTCTGAGTGAGACTCTGGGGCCAGAGTGATAAACGGGTGGGAAGGGCGTTTGCCTTGCATGCGGCCGATCTGAGTTCGATCCTCGGTGTCTCACAGGGTCCCTCTTACACACCGCCGGGAGTAATTCCTGAGCGCAGAGTCAGGAGTAACCCCTGAGCATTGCTGGGTGTGGACGCAGCCCCGCACGTAAATAAAGAACTAGGACTCAGGCTGCCTCCAAGCCTTCCAGGGATTCAACAGTTCCACGTGAGGAGACAGGGCAGCCAACACAACGCCAAGCTCCAGAGCCTTCATCCAGGCTCCAGCCCCTGGGTAGCAAGGTCCCTGAAAATGCAGTGAGCTTGCCCCATCCTAAAGAATGGAGCTGTGGGGCTGGAGTGACAGCACAGCGGGGAGGGCGTCTGCCTTGCACACGGCCGACCCGGGTTCGATTCCCAGCATCCCGTAGGGTGCCCTGACCACCACCAGGAGTAATTCCTGAGTGCATGAGCCAGGAGTAACCCCTGTGCATTGCCTGGTGTGACCCAAAAAACAAAAAACAAACGAACAAACAAAAAAGAATAGAGCTATGGGGTGAGGTTGGTGCCGTTCGGGGTGAGACGGGCCCAGGAAGGTCCAGGGTGCTCACCTCAACTGGCCTCTGGCCTCCCACACCCACATTCCTTCCCTCATGGAGGGGGTCCCGGCTCCCTGGGGTGACAAGATGTGACAGGCTCCCAGTCTCCCCACTGCCTGCATTCCAGGCCCACAGCCGGTCACATAAGAAAAAGGCCAGTTGTTGCTGAGACAAGTCAGGGCAGTAAGGAAAAACCGCTCCCTCCACACAGCGTATTATTTAGGGAAAACAACAACAACAACAGGGACTGGGGCGATAGCACAGTGGGTAGGACGTTTGCCTTGCACGCGGCCAACCCAGGTTCGATTCCCAGTATCCCATAAGGTCCCCCGAGCACCGCCAGGAGTAATTCCTGAGTGCAGAGCCAGAAGTAACCCCTGTGCATCACCGGGTTTGACCCAAAAAGCAAAAAAAACCAAAAAAACAAAAAAAAAACACACACACAACAACAAAACCAGACCTTGTGTTTTCTTCCCCTTGCCTGCTTGCTGACAATACAGAGACAACTCCCTGAAAAACCCCCGATGGGGAACAATTCGCAGGCAAGCCCGGGGCCCGGCGCCACGTGGAGCCCGGCTGGCCTGCGAGATAACCCTCTTCAGACTGTTTTTCTCCGTCTTTCTTTAAAAATAACTTGTTCGGTGGGTGGGGAGGAAGTGGTCACTCTTATACCCTGAGCTCTAATGACATGACAGCGCCGTCCTAAAAATAGGGGTTGGCGGCTTCTGGTTCTCACAAGGACATGTTTCCGAGCCCCCCAGATCCGGCGGGCTGATGTGGAAACCGGGAGCATGGCCCAGGGCTGACGGGCCTTGGAGTGGATCTGGCCAACTGGCCACCGCCTGAAAGGGACAGAATGACTCTAAGGAGGGACGGTGGGGGGTCGGCGGAGAGAAACCCACGAGTTTCTGACTGGAATGGGGAGTGTCTGTTCTACCGTGAAAGCCACGACAACAAAGGGAATGAAACAGCATTGGCATTTATACTGGCACCAGGTGGCAGGTCCGATATTTCATATTATTATTATCATTATTATTTTTGCTTTTTGGGTCACATCTGGCAAGGCACAGGGGTTCCTCCTGGCTCTGCACTCAGTAATCACTCCTGGCGGTGCTCGGGGGACCCTAAGGGATGCTGGGAATCGAACCCGGGTCGGCCGCATGCAAGGCAAACGCTCTCCTCGCTGTGCTATCGCTCCAGTACCATATTATTATTATTTTTTTTTTTTTGGTGGGGGGAGGACAGAGGTTCCAGTCATCAGCACCTACAGGTGTCTTCTGGCTCTGTGCTTGAAGGAGTCACTCCAGATGGTGCTGGGGGACATATGGGGTGGCAGTGGATCAAACCGGGGCCAGCTGCATGCAAGGCCGAGCCTGCCACCCCTGTACTCTCTCTCCCCACCCTTGCACTAATTTTTCTGTCTTTGGGTACAGAGGGTTGGGGGTGAGGCAGGGGGCTAGGTCCGTGGCGAGAGTTCCGGGATTCAACTGGGGTGTTCTGCATGCACTTCCGTAGGGCTGTCTCTCTGCCACCTAACTTTGCCTGTTTTATAGAAATGACGGGTTTCTGTGTGAAGAGCGGAGTCAAACACCTGCCTGCCCCTCAATGTGTTAAAAGCAGGAAAAGACAAGCCTTCACTATGAAGTGGCAGGGAACAGACTGGAAACTGACATGAAACAGACTTGAGGGGGCTGGAGCAATAGCACAGTGAGTAGGGTGTTTGCCTTGCACCTGGCAGACCCAGGTTCAATTCTTAGCATCCCGTAGGGTCCCCTGGGCACTGCCAGGAGTCATTCCTGAGTGCAGAGCCAGGAGGAACCCCTATGCACCTCTGGGTGTAACCCAAAAAGAAAAAAAAAAAACAGAAATAGACTTGAAATGAGAGAAGTGAGAGCCCAGGAGGCAAGGCAGGGGGTGGTCCTCCCCAGGCCACCCCTGTGGGGCAGAGTTTCCATCCCCCATAGGGTCAAGTAGCAGATCTGGTGGGAGAAATCACCACCCGGAGTCCCTCTCAGAAGCCACATGCACATTCCTGAGCATAAATGACACAGAAGCCCGAACATGGTGGACAGATGCGGGAGCCCCCCGCGCCCCCACTCCCCCCGGGCACTGAGGGCAGCCGGCCCCCTCCTGGCCCCACCTCACCTGTGTAGAACCTGGAGTGGTTATTCTCTTGCTCGAAGATGCTCTTGGTCTGTGGGTCGAATCGCAGCCATAGTCCGATGGCCAAGACCGCGATGCCGGCAAGCTGCAAGACACAAGGGAGAGGCCTGGGCATGAGTCCTGGCTGCAGGCAGAGCTGGGCCCCTTTTGCGTGTCGGAGGGGGTGACATGCGTGGAATCTCGGGGACCACCCCTCAGCGTCTGTCTCCCCACCACCACGCCACCGATGGTGGCAGGAGCCAGTGTGGCGATGGTTGGGGGTCAACCCATCGGTGAAAAATATCAGCCCGTGTGGATAATCCAGGGTGCCAGGCCATTCCCAGTGGATCAGGCTCCTTATGCAAGAACGCTTCACAGAACCACGCCATGTGCAAGGCCACGTGGGCATCTCGGGATGCTAAAATCGGGGAGCAGGAGCCAAGGGGCACAGGCTATGTGCCTAGCTCCGTGGCCACAGCAAGGATGATGGCCAGTCAGGGTCGTACATGGGGTTTATGGGATGGGGGGGTACTGCCGGGGAGGACGGGATTCTGGGAAGGGAGGGGAGACGGCAATGCTTAGGTTTTAACCCTGATCGGATATTCACTTCATCTATTTTTTTTTTTTGGTGGGGGGGGGAAGTGTGCTCCCAAGTAGTGCTCCCTTAGAGGGTCCCGGGGCCATTCCTGGTGATACTCGGCCAGTCAGATTGGATGGTTCAATGTTTGGGTTCAGTGACAGATGCTGCTTAAGCCCAGCAATGCTTGGGAGTGACCAGTGGTGCTGGGCGGGGGTATGGGAGGGGTGTCCAGGGCTCTACCTAGGGGATTTGGGAGGACTAGGGATCGGATTCTGGGCTTCATGCATTTTCAAGCATGTGCTCTGGCGGTTTTAGGTCTCTTCTGAGCTCCTTGAACAATTTTCTAAACCGGTGTTTCTCAACCGGAAGGATCTAGCTTCCTGGAGGTTCTCAAGAGTATTCCCAGGGGGGTCACAGGTGAAAACTGCTTAAATGAGGGGGCGAGAGAGACAGTACAGTGGGTGAGACACTTGCCCCGCACACAACGGACCTGGGTTTGATTCCCGGCATCCCTTATGGTCCGTCTCCCGAACACCAGGATGGCAGCAATGATTCCTGAGTGCTGAGCCAGGAGTAATCCCTGAGCATTGCCGGGTATGGCCCCCAAACAAAACAAAACTGCTTAAATGATGGGAGGTGAGGGTGGGGGGTGTATGTGTGTGGCATGAGACTAGGGGCCAACCAGTATGATGGGGGTAGGGTGGGGGAGCTACAGGAAGAAGGCCAGGTCGGAAGTGGGTCACAGCAGGAAAAAGGTTGAGAAACAATGCTTTAATGCTTTAAATTGTTCCCAGGGGGGCAGGGTCCAAGCAATAGCACAGCAATAGCACGGCAGTAAGAGCGTTTGCCTTTCATGTGGCCGACCCGGGTTCGATCCGTGGCATCCCATAGGGTCCCCCAAGCACCACCAGGAGTGATTCGTGAGTGCAGAGCCAGGAGGAACCCCTGAGCATTGCGGGGTGTGCCCTCCCCCACCACCAACAAACAAACAAGTAATTCCTCTCTCGTCCCTACTCTCCATGCCGTCCGACCAAAGGGCACACTCGAACCCAGGAGGGCGGCTGGGAGCTCAGTGGACACCAGCATCAGTGCCCTCCCAGCTCGAGCTCCCAGGTGCCGCGCTTCCTTCCCGGTGAGCCTGGACCCCGCCACACACACCCCCGTCTCCCCACCCTGCAGTTCCATCCCACTCCCATTTCAGAGCTGGGCAAGTGGAGAAGCCGGACCTGGTCAGATGCCAAGGCCTGGCACGTCCAGCGAGCTGCTTCCTGCCAAGGCCTTGGCCCCCACTGCCCAGTGCCAGCTGAGCTCCCCCGGCGCTGGTACCAGGGCACGCCGGGAGAGTGAGTCACAGTGTCGCGGCCGGTTGGCTGGATGCAGGGAAGGGTGGGCGCCGGGCCAACACCCTGGCCCCACGTTCCCCTGGGGGGCCCCCCACCACCCCAACAGAGGCGCCTATGTCAGCTCTGCCCCGGGAGTCGGGGGAGGGGGGGCCCCGCGGCCAGCACAGGCCTCTCTTTCTTTCCTTCCCGGCTCTCTCTCCCCGTGACCTGGCAGTGGTGGAGAGTGGGGACCCAAGAACTCCGTTGGCAGAACGGAAGTCGCCCACCCCACCCCACCCCGCTTGCTGGGAGCCGCCATGGATGGTTTTCTGCTCTTTTTTGGGGTGGGAGTGGCAGAGAGGCACACGCAGTTGGTGTTCAGGGCTCACTCCTGGCTGGGCTTGGTTGGGGGTGGGGGGGGTGGAGCCCTGAGGGGGTGCTGGGGATCGAACCCACGCCAGTCAAAATGTGCAAAGGCGAGTGAGCACTTTTCTCCCGGCAGCATCCAATTGGCCCTGCTGGGAGGGAGGATCTTGAATTCCTGCTTAGGTGGAGCTAAAAGCCTAAAGGTAATGATTTTGGAATAGACATTATGCCTGAGAGATTCCAAGCAGGAGAGAACACCCCCTCTCTGGACTTTGGGGGATCCACGGGAGGAGCTCCCCGGTTAGCCCCAGGGACGTCCCAAACCTCTCAGCCCACCTCTTAGGCACGGGGACACCAGGCTCCCGTAAGCAGCACAGGACGCCAGAGGCCCAGGGCAGGGCAGGGCAGGGCAGGGCAGGGCAGGGCAGGGCAGGGCAGGGCAGGGCGGGAAAGCCAAGCAGAGGTGGGGGGGGGGGAGGGACGCCGCCACCAGGCTTGAAGGGGTGGGGACGCCCATGTGAAGATGAACTGCCGAACTGTGGTTCTCACTGAGCAGAGGTGCGTGGGGGAGAGGTCCCAGCCTTGACACGGGGCCCACAGGGTGTTCCCTGCACTCTGAGCCCTGCTCCCGCGACAGAGGAATAGGGGCCCAGTGGGCGGCACCCCCCCAAAGTCAGTGTGGACTTTTGAGGTGGCCAGGTCCTGGCCCAGTGCCTCTGGGGTTCTGCAGAGCCCAAACGGAAGTGCTTCTTTCTTCCCCTCAGGACCCAACCAGAACTCTGGAAAAAAGGAAGTGGGAGGCCACTGGTGTCCTCTTGGATGTTCAGGGTTAACCTGAAACCCTTACGGTGGGGATTTCACATGCGTGCGAGCACTCGTGTGCACACACGCAACATACATGCACACCCATGCGCACGCAAGGGAGCTGCACGTCTTGGGGGTGCTTAGAGAACTCTCCCTGGGGCCTTCCTCCTCCCTGTCTTGTGCTTAGAGCTCCAGGGGGCCGGGTCCTAGCCAGGCCTTTCTGCCCGGGACTTGTGCTTACTTTATTGCACAGGAGGGTTTGGGGAACTTGGGGGTCGCCCCTGGTAGTGTCAGGGAGACCCTGTGTGGTGTGGAGAACCAAACTGGGGTCTGCTGCGTGCAAAGCAAATGCCTTGACCCCTGTACTATCTCTCTGGCCCTAGACTTAGGCTTATTATTAAGACAGTTCCCCTCACGTCATCCTATTCCTTCTGTTACTCACCCACTCCTTATCCTGCCAGGGAAATTCTTTTTTTTCATTCTTTTTTGGGCCACCCCGGCGATGCTCAGGGGTTATTCCTGGCTCTGCACTTAGTAAACGCTCCTGGCAGGCTCAGAGAGGGCCATATGGGGATGCTGGGGATTGAACCTGGGTCGGCTGCATGCAAGGCAAACGCCCTCCCCTCCCCGCTGTGCTATCGCTCTGGCCCCAGAGAAGTCCTTGAGCCAGTTGCTAGAAAAAGGGCTGCAGATAACCCACCCCAGGCATTAAGCTGAAAAGAATCGGAGAGCAGCAGGTAAGCAGAGAGGATGCTTCTGGCCCTGAGCGAAGTGTCTTCAGGAAGGGAGTGGAGCTCAGATAAACCCAGGGTAGCTCAGGGAAACTTCCAGCAGCAAGGCTTCCTGCATTTCCTGGTTTCGGGGCCCAAACTGGCAGTGCTCAGCACTGAATCCTGGCTCTGGGCTCAGTGATCACTCCTGGTGGGGTTTGGGGTACCATCTATGGTGCTGGCGATCAGACCCATGTGGACTGCTGCACTAGTGCTCGGCCCCAAACCTTCCTGCATCCTTGTGGATGCAACAAACCCAGACCCCCAAAGTCAGTCGACTTCTCTCGGGTCTCCAAGGACGAGGAATGTGAGGGGAAGACTAGAACCAGAAGGACCCCAGGTACCCGCTGAGGACAGGGCCCGATAGAGGAGGGGGCATCTCCTGTATCCCACCTGGTTGCTGTCTTGAGATTTAGCCCTGATGCTTGGTCAACACGAAGGGGAAGAGACTGGGAACACGGACACGGTGGGCAAAGCAGACTTTGGGGCTCTACTACCTAAACCCAGGCAGAGAGGGGGGAGGGGCAGGAAGCCGTGTGGGGTGGAAGGGCCAGGCTCCGTCTTTGAGCACCAGGTTCATGACTGTCACAGTCACATGCGGCTTTTGTGGTTGAGCAGTTAATTGGCCTGAGGTGGGGCTGGGTGAGCCCCGAGTGGCCCCATTTCTCTGTAATGCACTTGCAGAAACTGCTGCAGTCAGCTTGGGGTCAAAGGGCCAGGGGAGGTGGAACTGGTACCGCCTCACCCTGGCTCCCAGGGCTGCGAAGGGACACCCCCCTCCCTGCCCCCAGGAGAACCTACTATCTGGTCTCCTCTGGCTCCACCCCTAGCTGCCTCTCACCCCTACTTCCCGGAAGGCCGGAGAGGCAACACGGGCAGAGGCAGCCAAGAACCTGGAAGAAAGCCTACTTTAAAAGAATGGGCGCGGGGCTAGAGCAATAGTACAGCGGGTAAGGCGTTTGCCTTGCACGCAGCCGACCCAGGTTCGATTCCCAGCATCCCATAGGGTTCCCCGAGCACCACCAGGAGTAATTCCTGAGTGCATGAACCAGGAGTAACTTCTGTGCATTGCCGGGTGTGACCCAAAAAGCAAAATAAATAAATAAATAAATAAATAAATAAGAGAGTGGGTGCTGGGCAGAGCCATAGGACAGCGGGGAGGGCATTTGCCCTACATGAGGCCAACCCGGGTTCAATCCCCGGCACTCCTTATTGTTCCCCAAGCCTGCCAGGAGTGATCCCGGAGTGCAGGAGTAAGCCCTGA